ACGCCGTGGAGAAAAACCCCAACGCCGTCGTCACGTGAGTGCCGATCGATAACCCATCGATAACCCATCGATAGCGATCAATAACCCATCCATAACTCATCCGTGGTGATTGATCAATAACCCATCCATAACCCATCCGTGGTGATTGATCAATAACCCATCCATAACCCATCGGTGGTGATCAATAACCCATCCATAACCCATCAAACCCCAACGCCGTCGTCACGTGAGTGCCGATCAATAACCCATCGATAACCCATCGATAACCCTTCGGTGGTGATCAATAACCCTTCGATAACCCATCAATAACCCATCAAACCCCAACGCCGTCGTCACGTGAGTGTCCATCGATAACCCATCGATAACCCATCGATAGCGATCAATAACCCATCGATAACCCATCGGTGGTGATCAATAACCCATCCATAACCCATCCATAGCGATTGATCGGTAACCCATCGATAACCCATCGATAACCCATCAATAACTCATTGATAACCCATCAATAACCCATTGATAACCCATCGATAGCGATCAATAACCCATCCATAACCCATCAATAATGATCAATAACCCATCCATAACCCATCAAACCCCAACGCCGTCGTCACGTGAGTGCCCATCGATAACCCATCGATAACCCATCAATAACCCATCGGTGGTGATCAATAACCCTTCGATAACCCGTCCATAGTGATCAATAACCCATCCATAACCCATCAAACCCCAACGCCGTCGTCATGTGAGTGCCGATCAATAACCTATCGATAACCCATCGATAACCCATCGATAACCCATCCATAACCCATCGATAACCCATCGGTGGTGATCAATAACCCATCCATAACCCATCCATAGTGATTGATCAATAACCCATTGATAACCTATCCATAGTGATCAATAACCCATCGATAACCCATCGATAACCCATCAATAACCGATCAATAACCCATCCATAACCCATCCATAGTGATTGATCAATAACCCATCCATAACCCGTCCATAGCGATTGATCAATAACCCATTGATAACCCATCCATAGTGATCAATAACCCATTGATAACCCATCAATAACCCATTGATAACCCATCAATAACCCATTGATAACCGATCAATAACCGATCAATAACCGATCAATAACCCATCCATAGCGATTGATCGATAACCCATCGATAACCCATCAATAACCCATCAATAACCCATTGATAACCGATCAATAACCCATCAATAACCGATCAATAACCCATCCATAGCAATTGATCGATAACCCATTGATAACCGATCAATAACCGATCAATAACCCATCCATGGCGATTGATCGATAACCCATCGATAACCCATCAATAACCCACCAATAAACCATCAATAACCCATCAATAACCCATTGATAACCGATCAATAACCGATCAATAACCCATCCCTAGCGATTGATCGATAACCCATCAATAACCCATCAATAACCCATCAATAAATGATCAATAACCCATCAATAACCCATCAATAATCCATCAATAACCGATCAATAACCGATCAATAACCCATCAATAATCCATTTAACTACGGCTAATTAAGGCCATTAATGAGCTAATTACGGCTAATCAAGGCTAATTAAGGCTAATTAAGGCCATTAATGAACTAATTAAGGCTAATTAAGGCTAATTAATGAACTAATCAAGGCTAATTAAGGCTAATTAAGGGTGGAAATTCCCACTGGGGGGATCAGGGAGGGTTATTGATCACCAATAACTCATCGATCCCTTATCGGATTTAACCCACGATCGCTCTGGGGGTTATTAATGATTATTAACGAGCTAATTAATGCTAATTAAGACCATTAATGACCTAATCAAGGCTAATTAAGGGTGGAAATTCCCACTGGGGGGAGCGGGGAGGGTTATTGATCACCGATAACTCATTGATCCCTTATCGGATTGAACCCACGATCGCTCCGGGGGGTTATTAATGATTATTAACGAGCTAATCAGTGCTAATTACGGCTAATTAGGGCCATTAATGAATTAATTAAGGCTAATTAAGAGTGGAAATTCCCACTGGGGGGAGCAGGGAGGGTTATTGATCACCGATAACTCATTGATCTCTTATCGGATTGAACCCGCGATGGCTCTGGGGATTATTAATGATTATTAACGAGCTAATCAGTGCTAATAACGGCTAATTAGGGCCATTAATGAACTAATTAAGACTTTTTAAGAGCAGGAAAATGGCACTGGGGGGATCAGGGAGGGTTATTGATCACCAGGGAGGGTTATTGATCACCGATAATTTATCGATCCCTTATCGGATTGAACCCGCGATGGCTCCGGGGGTTATTAATGATTATTAAGGAGCTAATTAATGCTAATTACGGCTAATTAGGGCCATGAATGAACTAATTAAGGCTTTTTAAGAACAGGAAAATGGCACTGGGGGGATCAGGGAGGGTTATTGATCACCAGGGAGGGTTATTGATCACCGATAATTTATCGATCCCTTATCGGATTGAACCCGCGATGGCTCCGGGGGATTATTAATGATTATTAACGAGCTAATTAGTGCTAATTACGGCTAATTAGGGCCATTAATGACCTAATTAAGGCTAATTAAGAGCATTAATGAACTAATTAAGGCTAATTAAGGGTGGAAAGTCCCACTGGGGGGAGCGGGGAGGGTTATTGATCACCGATAACTCATTGATCCCTTATCAGAATGAACCCGCGATTACTCCGGGGGTTATTAATGATTATTAAGGAGCTAATTACAGCTAATTAGGGCCACTAATGACCTAATCAAGGCTAATTAAGGCTAATTAAGAGTGGAAATTCCCACTGGGGGGATCAGGGAGGGTTATTGATCACCGATAACTCATTGATCCCTTATCGGATTGAACCCACGATCGCTCCGGGGGGTTATTAATGATTATTAAGGAGCTAATCAGTGCTGATTACGGCTAATTAGGGCCATTAATGAACTAAGTAAGGGTAATTAAGGCTAATTAAGAGTGGAAATTCCCACTGGGGGGATCAGGGAGGGTTATTGATCACCGATAACTCATTGATCCCTTATCGGATTGAACCCGCGATGGCTCTGGGGATTATTAATGATTATTAACGAGCTAATCAGTGCTAATAACGGCTAATTAGGGCCATTAATGAACTAATTAAGACTTTTTAAGAGCAGGAAAATGGCACTGGGGGGATCAGGGAGGGTTATTGATCACCAGGGAGGGTTATTGATCACCGATAATTTATCGATCCCTTATCGGATTGAACCCGCGATGGCTCCGGGGGGTTATTAATGATTATTAAGGAGCTAATTAATGCTAATTAATGCTAATTAGTGCCATTAATGAACTAATTAAGGCTTTTTAAGAACAGGAAAATGACACTGGGGGGATCAGGGAGGGTTATTGATCACCGATAATTTATCGATCCCTTATCAGATTGAACCCGCGATGGCTCCGGGGATAATTAATGGCTATTAATGAGTTAATCAATGCTAATTAAGGCTAATAAGGGCCATTAATGAACTAATCAAGGCCAATTAAGGCTAATTAAGAGCAGAAAAATGGCACTGGGGGGAGCAGGGAGGGTTATTGATCACCGATAATTTATCGATCCCTTATCGGATTGAACCCGCGATGGCTCTGGGGGTTATTAATGATTATTAAGGAGCTAATTAATGCTAATTACGGCTTGTTAGGGCCATTAATGAACTAATTAAGGGTAATTAAGGCTTATTAAGGACAGGAAAATGACATTGGAGGGAGCAGGGAGGGTTATTGATCACCGATAACTCATTGATCCCTTATCGGATTGAACCCACGATCGCTCCGGGGGGTTATTAATGATTATTAAGGAGCTAATTAATGCTAATTAGACCATTAATGACCTAATCAAGGCTAATTAAGAGTGGAAATTCCCACTGGGGGGAGCAGGGAGGGTTATTGATCACCGATAACTCATTGATCCCTTATCGGATTGAACCCACGATCGCTCCGGGGGGTTATTAATGATTATTAACGAGCTAATTAATGCTAATTAATGCTAAATAGGGCCATTAATGACCTAATTAAGGCTAATTAGGGCCATTATTGAACTAATTAAGAGCAGGGAAATGGCACTGGGGGGATCAGGGAGGGTTATTGATCACCGATAATTTATCGATCCCTTATCGGATTGAACCCACGATCGCTCCGGGGGGTTATTAATGATTATTAAGGAGCTAATCAGTGCTGATTACGGCTAATTAGGGCCATTAATGAACTAAGTAAGGGTAATTAAGGCTAATTAAGAGTGGAAATTCCCACTGGGGGGATCAGGGAGGGTTATTGATCACCGATAACTCATTGATCCCTTATCGGATTGAACCCGCGATGGCTCCGGGGGATTATTAATGATTATTAACGAGCTAATTAGTGCTAATTACGGCTAATTAGGGCCATTAATGACCTAATTAAGGCTAATTAAGAGCATTAATGAACTAATTAAGGCTAATTAAGGGTGGAAAGTCCCACTGGGGGGAGCGGGGAGGGTTATTGATCACCGATAACTCATTGATCCCT